CAAAATAATCAATATTTTTCTTTTGAATAAAAAACTAAAAAGTGATAAGCTACACTTTGTTCAATATACCCAATAAATATACAATGAGAAATTTTAGAATCAATTTTTTTTCTTTTTAGGATTAGGCAATAAAACTTTTACGAGACACACCTATACTTTCAACTATTTTAAATTTAGGGTAAACCTTTTCACAAATCATAAGTATTTTTTTTGTTTTCTTATGAGGTATCCTATTTTGTACAGAAACATGCAGATAAATAACTTCACCCCACAAGTTATCAGTGCAGAAGAACTCACAAGCAAAGCATTCATCATTTTTTTAATGTTCTATTTTTTCTTTTTACAACATCATTAGACTCGGGAGAATAAGGAGGTGTTTTCTCATGAATAATACCTTCTTTTTCATAAAAATTATTTAACAAAATATATTCTCCATTTCTATTAGATCTAACTCTTTTAATTTTTTTTTTTTAACTGATTCTCAACTTTTGCTCTGTATAAAAGAAATTTTTTAAAAGTCTCATCTTTATTTTTTAACAAGTGTACCTTAGTATATCTTGAAAAATCATCAATAAAAGTAATATAATATTTTTTACTACATCTAGTCATAGTTTGTTTTAAATCACCTAAATCAATGTGAATTAAAGACAATAATTTAGGTTCTCTTTGATTAAAAAAATGAGGTTTTTTTACTTTGTTTGGTTTCTGCACACACTTCACAGCTTGGTAGCGCATTTGTTTTGGGTACAAAATGTCACGGGTTTAAATCCTGTCATCCCTATCCCTTACTATTAGACATGGACACTTTTCTTTTCATTATAATTGTTTTTTAGCCATAAACTTTGCGTTTGCGGATGGAATCTCTGTCACTTGTAGTGATTTATTCATTCATGAAATGGGTTAGATTGGTATTAGTCTGGATACAGAAAAATAATTCTATTAAATCTAATGTACTTATTAGATCGAATAAGTACATTATGTCAAAATTGAGAGATTTTATGCCTCGAATGCTTTTGCTAATTCAAATTGAATACGGAGCTGGAGCTTCTAACTATAATGAATGCGCTAACTATAGATATGATGCCAGAAAAAGATCGATTTTCTATCTATATCACCCTTCAATAAAACTAGAACAAATATTAATTCTTTACCCGAGATAATCCACTAAAAAGAGAGGGTCCATAGTATAGTTTTTACAGTGCAATAAAGTTACATAGTGTCCATTTTTGTTGATATAAGAGGTATATACAAGATATTTTTGATAAGGGTTTTGTGAAATCTTCTAAGATGTTAATCGGTAAAAGGATTGAGGTTGGTTGGATGTATTTACTAAAATAACCTAATCCTTTTTTTGAAAAGACCTACATAAAAATATGCTACCGAGTACCGACGTAAGTAAAGCTAATGCAACAGTAGTATTTATATCATTTGTGGGTGCAACCAACTCCCCATGAGATAACTGTATGATTTTCCTTATCACTGTTTTTAATTTCAGAAAATAGTTTAAGTTGTCACATCCTATTTATATAACCTTTACTAGCATGACCTAGTCTAATATGCCACAAATTAAAGGAATCAATCATATAAATAGGCACATACTCAGAAGATGCAGTCTTATTCATTTCATCAACATTCAAAATAAACAGTTCCTGATTACAATACCCTTTCCCCACAAATACATTATTCTCTGGCATTATAATTTTGTCAAATTTAAATGACACTTTAACTCCACCTTTCCCTAACAGAGCAACTAAAATTATGTTTGCTCTAACTTTAGGCACATATAGAATATCGTTAAGAGCCAGAGTCTTTCTTGATGTGAGCTTTAAGAACACTTTTTCTTTTCCTTGAACATTGGTAGTTTGGGAATCAACAATGTAAACATGATCTTCCCCTTCTTTTATAAGATTATGGAGGTAAACATCTCCTGATTAGCACATATGTGCCTAGTAGCCTAAAAGTCTACCACCCATTTCTTCACATTAGAAATCAAGAGAGCTTATGACACTATTGCAGTAATGATGTCATCATCATTGTCATCATCTCATTGTACCAAATTTAATTTTGGCTTTTGAGGCTTATAATGGTTCGCTCTCTTCCTCTACTGTACTGCATAGTGTCCTAGTTTACTATAGACAAAACAGTCTCCTTTTTTCTTAAAAGAGGGGTTATAAGCATTGGGTTTGTAATCAGATTTCCTATTCTATTTGTTATCTTTGGTTTTAGGGTTATATCTCGTTTGAGGCTTTATCTCCACCACATTGGTTTTGGATGTCATTTCTTTGGTTCGAGTTGCACGTACTACCTTATGGTTGGTGTCTTTGATTATTATGTGAATGATCAGGTCAACTAAGGACAGCTGCTTCTGTTTGTGTTTCAACTGCTGTTTGTAATCATTTCACAATTATGGTAGCTTTTCAATTAGGATTCTAGCAACGAACTCATTTGGAAGGTTGATGTTTTCAGCACAAAGCTCCTCCAGCAACTTGTGATATTCATTGATTTGCTCATTCACATCATTGTTCTCGATCATCTCTCATTTATAATAATTTTTCACAATGAATTTTTGTTTGCTAGCATCCTCACAGTGTAATTTGTCACCCGAGACTCCTAGATCATACAAGCTTCCTTGTAGACACAGTAGACATTGAATAGATCATTAAATAAAGTACTAATGAGTCCATACAACTCTTTGGGCTTAGTCAGGATCAGCAGCAGGCTCGATTTGAGCAAGAGCAACAGCCACACCTTGCATATCAAGAATGGTGAAGACTCGTTTTTGCCAACGTTTAAAATTCTTGTCGTCAATGACCTCTATCTTTGATATCTCTAGGAATGGCCTCGGCAGGGGGACAGCAACAGCAGCAAGGATGAAGTGATTTCCACTAGAACCACCAGCTACATCCTTGGGGACAAGATTCTCAACACCGTTGGACGCCATTTAGTTCGAATAGTTCTTAAGATTATTAGTTGTATAGTGGTAGACTGAGAGCTAAGCTGCTTGAGTCATGTCGAAGCACACTGTCCTTAAGAACTATTTTGACACATCAGGATGACGAACCAACAGTTCTCCAAGATTAAACAAGCACTTCTTGTACAAGTAAGGCACCAGAACAGCAGCACTAACAGGAAATAAACTAGATGAAGAATAAGAATGTAGGAGAAGTTGGAGGGAGGAGGAGAGAAATGCCTCAAAAGTTTAAGAGGCTGGTGTCCAGTTCAGTCCACATGCATGCCTATATATAGGCCAAGATCTTGGACAAATGTTGGGCAGCATTTACTGGACGAGTTACACAAACATAAAATATATTTAAGCATTTGTCTAAAAACGTTAAGGGGCAAACACGTTTAGGAATTTATACATCCATTTCAAGAATTTGTTTAAAAGCCAAAAACACTTATGGTTTAAATTCAAACTCCAGATAGCTAAAAAATGAGGCTTTCCGGTAAGCTCATGTAACTAATAATTATTTATTTTTGTAAAAATAATTCAGTAAAAGAAACCCAAGCCTCTTGAACTCTAGCATGGGAGGTGAATCGGTTGATTTTAACTACGATCGCCCTGAGTTAGTTTGTTTCATGCTTGCAAACCCACTTCTCTTTTAAGCCTATTTTACTAATCCATTTCATTCTTTAGTATTTATATACTACGAGCTCTCTTCGTTTAAGTAATGTGAAATTTTTGACACATTATTACTACAACAGCAGCTTCATGCATTGTGTTGTTTCAGGCTCAGGGACGACCTGCGGGACCGTTTCTTGAATAACATGGCATTGTTAATTGGCTGCGTGACAAACAACAGACAACATGTGGTAACATTGCCTTCCTATCAGCTTGCATGATTTCTCGATCAAACCACGCGTATATTTAAAACAATTCCTGAGATCGTACGAATCTTTCTAAGATATCAAAATAATAAAAATAAATTGTGAGCAGCCCAATGAGACACGTGAAAAAACAACAGAATAAAGATGTGACACCAGGCTTTGGCAAGAAGCTGCTGTCCTTATCGAGAGCATAATATCTGGTAAACTTTATAATATATATATATATATATATTTTTTCAAAGTTTTCCCTTGGCGGTTAAATCAAGGGAAGATACCAGTAAAGTCTAAGAGATTAAATTAAAAATAATTAAGTTTTTTATAAATTTTTTAAAAAGATTAAATTAAAAATTTTGATTCAGATTATTATAAATTTAGGAGTTTAAATTATAAATAAATATTTAAATATTAAATATAACTCTTAAATTATAACAAATTTTTTATTTATAATTATTTAATTAAAATTTATAATTTATTTTATAAGAAATTTTGTACTGTCATTAATTTATTTATTTACAACCTAACAGTCTTTCTCCCCCAAATCATGTGGTTCTGAAGAGTTCATGAATCGAGAGCTAGTACTTATTTTATTTTAAATTATTTCTTTTTTGATGAGATGTATAATTCTTAAAATCATAATAATCTTTTGCAATAGTTCGCCCATTAAAATATTTATTATTTAAAAATAAACATTAGTTATTAAAAAGTTATTATTTTAAATTTTTAATCTTTATAATTTTTATAAAGATTAAGAGGGTTTATTAATTTAAAATATTAGCCCTAAATTTTAAAAAAATTTTAATCTTTATAATTTTATTTTTTAAAAAATACAAGGATAATGTTTGAAATGGTTAAATATAATAACTGAGTTACTAGAATTAAGTTTCGGGATCGAGTTACAATAAGTTAAAACTATAAATATTGAGTTATAATGAGTTAAAATTTAGGAATTGGGGTATAATTGATCGAGCTAAACTATAGGAACCAAAAAATTAATTTTTTAAATTTTATTTATGTGAGAAGGATGAAATTGAGTTCTTATGGGTACGTGTGATGAAAACGAGTTCCATGGTTTTTGATAGAATTGAGTTTCTGCATATTAAACAAGCAAATTTTAGAGTTTCACTTCCATATCTCGTGTCCCAGTTCCAACATTCCAAACCAGGCATCAAGGATTAAAAGTTATATTACATCTATTTTTTTTTTTCAAGACAAAAAGAGCATTCAATGTTTCAAGATAAGAAATGTTTCCTTGCATACATATTTTTGTTAACAAATTAAAGGCCGTGCCTTTAATGCCTCTTATTCTACCTCATACGGCCAATATAGATGGAAACACCTTATTATCAGCTGCTGGTGGGTGAGAAATGGTGAATTAAACAAAGTACAAGAGGCGTTCAAATTTGGGTAAGGATGAGACGGCTTCAATGGCAGTGCCGAGGGCCAAGTCGCTTCAACAAGATAATCCTGTACTCGAGTTTCTTCACCACTGTCACTTCTTGCCATGGATCTAGCCCTGTCACCACACAATAATTATTAATTAATATAATATAATATAACATTGCAGCTCTCAGCACCCAGTCATTTTAATTAATAATATTTAATTATGAAACCTACCGAACCCATCAACCAGCAAGGTATACTGGTATACAAGATCCATACACACGTATTGAAGCACATTTTCCTGGATCAATGGGAAGAAGGAATTGGCTTCCTCTAGTGTTGTCTTGCAAGCGAGCTCTGCTGCGATCTTGAAATCCACGATTCGAACCTTGCCGCTGGGCTTCTTTATATCAGCAATCCCAGCCTATGAAAGAATTGCATAATAGAATATATATAGATCCATGTGCGAATAGAATAAAATGTTATTATTATTTTGTTGAAGATTACTATACGTGTGTGTATCTATCGAGTACCTCAGTAGCTAAGTAATAGAAAGAAGTGGCAAGGTAGAGATTTTGCTGGCCGGGTCCACCTCCACCGTTCCAGATGCCACCAAACGTGCAGTTCTTCTGGGGACATGTGGCGTTCACATTGAGGGCCTTCAGAACCGTGTCTCTGCATTCACTGAAGCTCGACCCGCTGGGCATGGCGGACGCCTTGTATTCCACATCTCCGTATACATAAGACCCTTCCCAATTTCAAATATATATAAGTACAACAAAATTTAGAGGTTTCTTCATACCCCAAGGACAGATCTGTATGTATGATGATGATTATTATTATTATAAATTATAATAATATAAGGGGGGGTTTGGTCGTAATTACTGTATAATTACCATTAAAGCCAGCTAAAATACAAGGGTTGTCAGAATCACGGGTAATATTCAAGATCTTTGCACGAGACGCTTCTTTACCATAGTGCAAGTAACTGAAAGCAACACGTTCAAATTAGGGTATCAAAACATCAAAATAATTAAAAAGTAGTGCATGTGCATCATCTGAGGTTAGATCTGTTATATGGGAAAGAGAAATCAACAAGACATATACCTGTGAACGTAGACGAAGTACTTGGTTCCCTTGAGATACATCTTTGTTATGTATGGGTCCTCTGCTTCTGGAGCGTTGGGAGCCTTTGCAGCAGTTTCCTCTGAGACGGTGTACGCCATTTGAACCGATCCACCTCCCAGATCCACCACCCCCCCGTCTCCCAATATTCTTTTGCTAAGTTGCTCAATAGATAGTTTATTGCCACCTATGTATAATATTATTCCACACACCTTTTATTTTTTAGTTGCATGTGTGTCTCTGTGTGTGTCTTCAGATACTTTTTCCTTTTCACACCACCACTTTCTTGTGGAGTATAAACACGCATGTAATACTGTTGACTGTGTGACGCCGGCACGCTTCAGCACCATTTTTCATGACTTATTACTGTATATATGTGCTTATTTAATCCTATAATTTTTCGTTTTTTGGCCATCTTATATAATCCCATAATTAAAAGCGGACACGCATAATATTTATTGCCTAGTGACCAAAATTTGAGGCGTATGATGTTACGAGTTGATGAGTTGAATTTAATTTTATACGTATTCATCAACAGATCGTTGTTTTGAACTTAATGTAGGTTTCGTGAATCATACCCATAGATAAGAGCCTTCTTGGGTTCCATCAATAACAGCAACTGCCTCGAGTTTTAAAGTGCTTCTTTCCTTGAACATATCCCTCACCTATTAATAGATATTTAAATATGAATTAAAGAGATCTGGAAAATGTTATAAGAAGAGAGACTGATATATATGGAGAAACTAAGTCAATATATATAATATTGCTCATCACCGCTTGCAGGATCAGTTCAGAAGCATTTCCTTCCAAAAGTCTCAACCCTGCGGTTGCCTGCATTTGCACATAAATATTCATCAGTTAATCCATATCAGAAACTGCCGTGCAAAATGAAAATATATTTATATACTTTTATTTTATTCCAACTCGTGAGAGAAATGATGAGAAATAGTGAGGATGTATACCCCAAGTCTGAGGGGAGTCTTGTGGCGCACCCTTTTGGGAACAACGCCTTCAGCTTCCCCTAAAAGGGGAATCAGAGATTCAGCGGCTTTTTCTGGATTCTTGGCATATGCACTCAAACCCGGTTTAACCTGCAGCCGAGAATGAAAAACACATTATATGATAGAGAAGCAACTAATATAGCAGACGCAGGTAATTAAAATATTAGAGAAAAAAATATACGATATGATGGGACATATAGGAGAGACCTTGTCGAGAAACTCAAGATCTTGGCCAATGGGAATGAGGTCTAAGGTCCGGTTGAAGTGGAAGACATGGAGACGGCTGCCGGTACTTCCGGCATCAAAGATGACAGCGTAAGAGGTTGATGTTGATTTCAGTGTCTTACGATGCAGTTGCGACTGGGACGAGGAACAAGGGACTAGGCATATTATTATTACCAGCAACACACCCAACACTTGGGACTCCGTGCCCATACCTCACTCCTTCTCTCTGTTATTAGCTTCTTCAGCTTCACTTGGACCACATCAAGCCCATCCTCATCGCCTCCTTTACATAGTGATCATGATCACATGCTTATTCTTCACTCGTAAATTGTTATTATATCCTTTTAAAGCAGAACGCACTTCGTGCTTTTGGGAATTTAATAACTAATTATTTACCATCTTTATCTATCTTTATTATCATCTTGCTTTCTTCCATATTAAGCTATACATGGCATTAATTACACGCATAAAAAAGTCTTTGATTTTTTTTTAAATTTAGATTACTTTCAAAGACCTAGAGTTTTTTTGGATCATAGCAATTAACTTAAATATACAAAAATAGTCAGGTTCTGTAACATATAGAAATATAAACAATGATAAATATCAGATGAGCGAATCACATCATACCATATTTCTTGAATGGTTGTAATAACCTAACACTGAAAGCTAATTGTTATTATTATTAATTAAAGTTGATGTGACTAGTAGAAATTATTGCCATTTAAATAAATTGTTGGGTATTTGAATTTCAAGCAATTAAGCTGAGAAATGTATGTCTTCTCTTTTTTGGGTGAGAATAGGATGTTAAACGTGTGATGCATATGATGCGATGAGAGATCTTGTCGAGAAATATATACATAGATTGCCAACCATAAAAAATAAAATAATTAGGAGTCGCCGTTGTTTCATATGTGATTTTTAAAAGGGCAACATCGTATGGCCTGGCTTCAACTCACCTAATACCTGTGGGACCATTTATTGAATGGTGTTGTCTTTTTGTTTTTTGTTGATAAGGTACATTCCAAACAACATGAGTAAAACACTGAATTAATATAAGTAGCTTTCACCTTTTTCCCCTTCCCAAGTTCCCTTGATACAAGAAAGAAAGTGATAATAGCTTAAAACATTAATATTGGGAGAGTATGAGGAGTGACAAGAGATGGACCTAATTTGCATCTGTTGAGATTATGACTCAAATTTTTATAATTTTTATGATTATTTTTTATATATTATCTTAGTGTAAATCTATCATATCTCTATTTGATATTTTAGAATATATTTATTATTATTCAAGATAATATTTTTAGCTGATAAGAAGCGCTCTCTCTCTCTCTATATCTTATCTCTTCATCTTCCATAGTAGAGACAATTATTGTAATTTTCATATTTATAGTAAAATTACTTGTTTGTTGTCTGTGAGTTTTTCGTCCCTCATATTAGGGGGTTTTTCCGTGTTAAATTTCATGTGTTACCTTTTATTACTTTTCTCTAACTTTTTTATAATTTTCAATTATTTTATTCTGTTTACTTTGGCTAATTATTTGTGTACTTTTTAATAAATGGTATCAGAATTAGGTAAAGTCCAGGACCTGTAAGCCCATTTTTGCTCACACGTTTGAAGCGCAAAACAAGACTGGCCCTGCTTCAGTAGAGACTTGTGTGCGCTACTCCGTTTGAAACTTGAAAAACTAGGTTGGCCCTCAAACAACAAGGGCTTGGTGTTGAGGACGTCTTTGATACGGGAAGTTGTGGACTCACACTTAAGGGACGGATTGTTAGATTGTCAAAGTGTGAGTGGACATAAAACGATGTAAAAAGTTTTAAATTAGATAAAGTTTGGCTTAATAACTCATAATAAAGAGGAAGGACCTATAAACTTAAGTCTTAAAGTTTTAAGTTAAAATGTGACATCCTTCTGCTACTCTTACCCGTCTCTCCTCTCCCCTAATTCCTGAGCTGTCACTCCCTATTCCTAACAATTGTTAAGGTGTCCAAGTGTGTTACGATTTAGAAAGTCCCACATCAAATAAAGTTAGACTTAATAACTCATATAATAAAGAGAAATGACCCATAAACTTGAGCCTTTCTCGGGCGATCACTCCTTATTTCTAACAAGTAGTATCAAAGCCTTGTTCTCAATTGAAAATTTTCATGATATCTACTGTTATAAAGTTTGACATTAAAAAGTTTGATGGCAGTATTAGTTTAGCTATTTGGAAAGTTTAGATGAAAGCCATTTTTATTCAAAATGAGTTGAAGAAAGCTTTACTTAGAAAGGATAAAAAGCCAGTAACTATGTCTAATGAGTATGAAGAATTAGATGAAAAAGCTCTTTTGACTATTCAACTATGCCCATCTAAAGAAGTTTTACAAAAAGTAGTTAATGAGACCAATGTGGCTTCATTGTGATTGACTTTGGAATCTCTCTATATGACGAAAAGTTTAACAAATAAACTTTATCTCAAAGGATAGCTATACACCATTCGTATAGTTGAAGGTACTTCTGTTCAATCTCATCTTGATAAATTTAATTCCATTATTATAGATTTTAGAAAATATTGATATCAAAATTAAAGATGAGAATAAAGTTATTTTATTAGTTGTCTCATTGTCTCCCTCTTATAAACATTTTAAAGAAATTATGCTTTATAGAAATTTAGACACCTTAGCCTTTGAAGATGTACAATCTAATTTATTGTCCAAAGAAAACTTTGATCTTGAAGTTCATTCTGAGGACAAAGTGAAAGTTTAAATGTGAGGGTGAGAAGTGATGAAAAGAAAAGTAGCAGAAAATCTAGATCTAAGTCTAAGAGACATAAATCCAACAACAATGATAAAAACCTGTAATTGTTGCAAGAAGTCAGGTCATAAGATATCTTAGTGTTATAGACTTAAAAAGAAACATAAAAGAGAAGAACAAAATAAGAACCCTCAAAAATCATCCGCTAAAGCTAGTGTTATTGAGAGTCAGATGGTGATGTTTTGTTATCTATTTCCTCTACTAATAGGAGGAATAGAACTGATTGAATTCTTGATTCTACTTACACTTTTCATATATGTCCTTATATCCTAGATCTGTTGACCGTAGTATTGTTTGATATGTGATAATAATAAATGTAAGATTCTAAAAATTAGTACAATACATATCAAGACTCATGATAGTACTATTAAAACTCTTTCTATGTTCATTATGTTCCTAAGATAAAAAGGAATTTGATCTCTTTGGGTACTTTTGAATCTCAAGGGTACAAGTATTCAGTTGAATATCGAGTTCTTAAAATTTTTAAAGGTTCTCTCTCTTCTTTATGTGAAAGGTAATCATCATGCTACTGTTTATGTCTTGCCAGGTTCTATTGTTACAGGTTCAGTGGCTATTACAACATCCATGCTTAATGATTCTCACACTATCCAATTATGGCACATGCGATTGGGCCATATAAGTGAGAAAGGTATGAATATTTTAAGTAGGAAAGGTCTTTTGTGTGGTCAAAGTATTGATAAATTGGATTTTATGAACATTATATTTTTTGGAAATAGAAAAGAGTTAGTTTCTCTATTACAACTCATAACACTAAAGTTTTTGACTATTTACATTCTGATATATAGGGACCTCAAAATATCCTTCTGCTAAAAGACGTTGTTATATGATGACTGTTATTGATAACTATTCTTATAAAGTTTGGGTTTATTTTCTCAAGTGTAAAAATGAATTTTTCTCTTAATTTTAAAAGTCAAAAATTTTAGTTGAGAATCAAACTGGGAGAAAAGTTAAAAAGTTAAGAACAGATAATGGATTAGAGTTATGTGAAAATGATTTTAATGAGTTCTATGTTAATAACGACATTACAAAAGCCTTAGCAAAATGGTGTTGTAGAATGTATTAATAAAACTCTACTTGAGAGAGCACGTTGTATACTCTTTAATGCTAGGTTATGGCATTGGTGTTATTTATGGGTTGAAGCTACTTCTACTGTATGTTATTTGGTCAATTGTTCACCTCACACATAATTTGATTTTCAAGTTTCAAAAGAAATTTGGTCAGGTAATCCTATTAATTATTCTAATTGAACCGATGCACCTACCGTATCCATCACCCCCACCGTCTCTGAATAATCTTTCTCTAAGTTGCTCAATAGATAGTTAATTGCCTCCTATATATATATAGCCGCATGATGTAATGGGTTGAGTTAAATTTAATTTTATATTCGTCAATCGATGGATATCGTTGTTTTGAACTTACTATAGGTTTCGTTATTCATACCCATAGATAAGAGCCTTCTAAGCTTCCATTAATAACAGCAACTGCAACGAGTTCAAATTTGCTTCTATTCCGGAACATTTCTCTAACCTAATCATTAATAGATATATGAATTAATAAAAGCTGAAAATGTTATGAGAAGAGAGACAGATAGAGGCATAGAGCGACTAAATCATTATATACAACATTTCTCGTTACCTCTTGCAAGATATGCTGAGAAGCATTTTCTTTCAAAAGTCTCAAACCTGCGGTTCCCTGCACTTGCACATAAATATTTAGTGAATACATTTCAGAAACTGGCCTGGTATGCAAGATGAAAATATATATACATTTCAAAAGCTTGATATTCTTTGCTAATTTGTGTGGAAGCTATCATAAAATTAAAGTACATGTTTGCTATTGTTATTTGTTAGACACATTGGTTGTATATATTGGATTGTTGCTATTGTTAAAATTTGCAGGTCGAATTGGTTATAAAGAAAAATAATGATTACCTAATTAAAAAAATTAAATAAATAATGTCACTTTTGTAAAAAAGGATGTAGTTTATATTAATCATGTTTCTTTCCTTTTTCTTAAAAAGGAAGTGGTTGTTGAAGAAATCAAGTCATTTTTTTTTAAGAATGGATGTTATTTTCATTATCAACATTCCATTTACAAATAATGTGAATGTGTTAACTTTTTATGTCACCCTTATTCATATTTCTCATTGTAGGGATATAAATATTTTTTGAAAAAGCAACATGAAAAACTTTTTTTATAATAGTGTAAGCCTCAAATTTCCCAATCCAACTCACTACTCATTAATATTCCATGTGAGCTAATCTTATCGGTCTCTGGGATGCGCGCGGGATCCGCTCTCACAAAATGTATATTAAAATTATGTATGTATGAGCGTGCGCGCATTGGGACAATCATGTGATGAATTTAACTTATTTATGATTCCAATTGGTCACGATGAGAGATGGACATGCTTTTCGGGGCCATGTGAAATAAGTGATGAATATAAAACTATATTTGGTCGGTATCAATTAGTTTAAACTCATA